TGTGTGTGTGTGTGTGTGTGTGTGTGTGTGTGTGTGTGTGTGTGTGTGTGTGTGTGAGAATGAGTGTGTGTGAGAATGAGTGTGAGTGAGAGTGTGTGTGTGTGTGTTGTGCAGTCCCTGTTCAAATGGTTTCCTCATGGGAACATGTTGTTGGAATAAAGTAGCTCTGTGTGGACGGTGATCACAGTGTGTAGAATGAACCCTAACCCTAACCCTGTGTGGACCATGCTCTTTAATGTGAGCTGATGTCTGCACACACGTGTGTTCCTTCCCAGAGTTCCCGGCGGCCCAACTTTAAAGAGCTGAACAGTGATATGCTGCGCTACCAAAGGTGGCTCCTCAACAACAGCTCCAAGGCGTTTTACACTCCTGTGGTGGCTGAAGACCTTCGCCAAGGAACCCAGTACCTGCTGCAGGTGTGTGTTTATAGCCCTCAGATCTGTTCAGTAAGTGTTTATGGGATCTTGCTCACTGGTTGATTTGAACATGTTTTTATTTCCACACAAAAACTGTCTCACCTAATCTGCAGATCAATCTTCACAGGGTTTAATGTTTTATTTGAGCGTTTCCATTGGCCAAAGGCTCCTTTGCACCAATCAGCCTAAAATTGGGCTTTTCTGTCCTTTGATTTCTTGGCTTCCTGCTCACAGCTGAATTCTGTGTTATAACCCATTTGGAAATATTTGCTTCTGTGTGTGTGTGCTGATATGACCTACAATATGGGGCCAAAATTGAAAAACCTGCTTTCTCTGCATTATTGGACATGCTAACTTGTCGCTGTAATTCAGAACATAAACATACCAAATGTTTTATTTTTAAAAATGCAAAGCACTTTCTATGAGGTTTGAGGTTAGGGTTTGTCATAAGAGTTGTTTTTGCCTATGGAAGTAATTCCAGTGTGTTTCACAGGCTGCTGGTTTGGGCAGATTGAGGCCCAACACACTGGTGCTCGGCTTCAAGAACGACTGGCGCATTGGAGATATAAAGGACGTTGAGACCTACATAAACCTGATGCAGTGGGTTTCATCTTCTGTTTGAAATCAGTCCGCTATTAATACAAACCTTTATTGAATTAGTGAGGCAGCAGCTTTTATACAGTGATGAAGTGGTTTGTTTGACATCTGGTCATCAGCCATGCAACATGAGATTCCAGATGAGTAAACGTTAATCAGAAATCAGTGTTAACTGTCAGAAAACTAGAGTTAAAGTCAGAGATCTGTGTGTATATGATCTAGTGCGGACCACTCCATGACAAGCTATTCTAACCCTAAAAGTGTTATTTTAACATGCATATAATGTGTTCTGGCATTGATTTTGATGCAGTTTTTGGCATGACGTGTATGTACAGCTGAAGAGCGTCTGGTAGATGTTTATGAGCAAACGGGAAAGCAGCTTTGAAGTAAATGGTGTGGGTCTTCATCCTGTGAGACATTAACGCTTGTTTATTTGTGTGTGTGTATGTAGCGACGCGTTTGATTTTCAGTACGGTGTGGTCATTCTCAGACTGCGAGAGGGACTCGATATCTCTCACATTCAAGGCCAAGGTACAGTACTGTACACAGAACCACTACATCAACCAGTCTCCTTTAAACAATACGTGTAATCTGATGAATGCTTCTCAGTGCTGTTGATTTAACATGAAGGCATCACCGTTCACTAGCTAACAAACTACAGTAGAATACTGACTCTGCTTTACCCTCTCATGGGAACAAAGCATTTTAACCCTTTAAAGCCTGTAAAACATTGAGATGGACATGTGTGGTGGCTGGAGGAAATTGTCCATGTAATGAGCTCGTTTTCTGTTGGTCATTAAGCAGACTTTGCCGTTTGTGCTAAATTTGAGTTTGCCTTGACCTCCAAGTGGTGCTGAACTTCCCCGTTTGTTCCTGCAGATGATTCTTCAGCGATGAGGGATGTGGTGGTCTCAGTGGACATGAGCAAGGACTCGGATGGAGACTCGTCCAAACCCTCCTCCAAGGCCACCAGTGTCCAGAACAGCCCCGCCGTCCAGAAAGGTCAGGGCTCTGAGTTCACAGAGTCACGTGTGTCCTTGAAACACTCACTTGTTCTAGGAAAGGCAGATGAATTTATTTCCCAGATGTTTTGTGAAATGTTCCTGCTCCGAGGGGAAGTCGTCGTTTGTGCTCTTCTGGGGCCAGGTCTCATCCCAAGCCATCTCATGCACACTCTGTGTTTTCTGAAATCTCTGCCCAGCACAACACAACGGAGCGTGCTCTCCGAAGGGTCCAGGCTGGGAACACCGCGAGTGTTGATGTGTCTGATTAATAGAGGTCTCTCAGCTCCCTCTGACACTGGAGGGCTCTCTGAAGCCTGAGAAAACAACCATAAAAACAAATGTAGCCGCAAGCAACGATCAGCAGGGGTCAGGCACACGAGAAAGCTTGAGAAACTGAGCAGAGCTGGCTCTCTTGATCTCGTCTGTTAGCAGGATTGTGGGAAATCAATCACCAGATGTCCATTAGGGCTGGGTTTTGACACAGATGTCAAGATTTGATTCTGATTCACAAGCTTGCGATTCAATTCGATTTCGATTCAATTTTGATTATTTTGTCAAATAAACATGCGAGTCAGTTGGTACTACATTATTATAATATTTCTTTTCCAATTAAATTTTGAAATGCAAACATTTAAATGGTTGCTGTCATAAAAGCTATTCAAACAAATATTGAAGTACAGTAAAAATGATAATGAATATGTTATATGGTGCATGTAGCTATTTAGCTAAATGCTCCTCTCTAGAGTAAGTTTTTCTGTTTCTGTTTTTGGTCAGCATTTTTTCCTGAGGTAAATGTGACGATACCTGACATACTGTATTGCTTACAAGCTGTTATACAGACATCTTTTGAAACTAACTGTGCACTTACATTGTGCTGAAACTTATTAAAGGAGAGGAGATAAGTTCATTGCCCTTCTCTTAAACGGAGGAGCTACAGCGATCTGTCACTCGCATTAAACAGTACTGAAACGCCATTTATTGTTTGAATATTGTGATACAATGGACAGAATTTGAAATCTGAGACTTGGTTTCATTTCAAAAGTAACAAAGCACAAAGCTTATTGCTATTTATTGGATGGGATGTGCGCTTTGATGTTCTGTTCATAAACTGAAAAAAAGGCTAGACTAATCTATTCTTGGGATTTAAGAGTCAATATTTTTTTGTAAAAACTAGAATCGATTTATCTCGAAATCAGTATTTTATGTTTACCCAGCCCTGATGTCCATGTGTACCTGTTTTTGTGAATGTGCGTTCACAAACGCCGTCCGATCCAGACCACACCTGAAGAGTTCAGATTCCCAAACAACTCTTCTCCAGTTTCACTGCATGATAGGAAATGTGAAAGCTGTGGGAAACGTCTATTATCTCTGAAGCGTATTGTGATGGGCTGTGATGTCCTGAGCGTGCACACCTTCAACCCAAATCTCTGATTGGGATCTGATCTAATAGTTTGACTGGTGTGTGCTCAGATCCCGTGTGTGCTCTCTCATGACACTGAATATATCTGCTGCAGTGACGTTGTGCTGAAAACAGCAGTATCCAGCAGCACAGTCACAGCAGGAGGTGTTTCTGTAGCATCTCTCGCCGCTCTCAGCATTCTCACTCTCACTTCACTGCACTACCTTTACTGACAAACACATTCTGCATGTTTACAAACAATGTCTGATGTGAATATGAATGTAGCTTGTGCAGATTTGTAAAAATCATATTTCATGTGACTTTATCTATTTATTTATTAGTAAGTATGAGTGGATTTCAGTCATATAGAGTGGTGGCCAAAATTATTAGAACACCTGACAGATCTGAAAACATTGACCTTGTTTTGCCTCCAAAACATGATTTGATTTCATAATGTTCATGAAACATGCAGATGGTTGCTCTGAGCACAACAAACATCAGATGAAGAGAGTCGTACGGTTTTTAACTTTAATATTTGCTAAGTCCACCTTTTACAGCAGTTACAGCAGCACATCTCTCTGGCAGAGTGTCAATATATATCCTGAGAACTTCAACACTAATGCTATCCCATGCCTTCTGCAGCTCAAGCCAAAGTACAATAGATCTGTGCAGTTTCATTTCCAACTCGCCCCAAATTTGCACGATGTTGTTGAGGTCTGGACTTTGAGGGCCAGTCCATCATATTCAGTGTTCAGCAGATTCCTTCCATCGCAAGTAGTTCCAGCAATAGTTAGTTTTATGGGTGTTGTAATGGCCAATTCAACAAAAACAGTGAAGTCACAGACCCAGGAGAGCTGCTTACAGCGGTCCCCTCGTTTGAGCGGTGTGCTGATGAGGGTGTGATGTCATCAGTGTGTGTCAGATGATGATGATGATGATGATGATGATGATGATGATGATGATGGAGCTCCTGAGGTGACCTGTCTGCTCATGTAATGAACTGCAGCAGAACAAGCCTCTCTTTGTGTTTGACTGACGCACATGTTTCCCATTGCAGCACTAGCAGACTTTAACCTCTTGTGTTTTTTCTAACATGATCCAGATGAGGATGAGGATGGCAAAGCCCACACTCGGCCGCTGTTGAAGAAAGGCAGGACATTTCTCTCACTCTCGTTCTGTCTCTGACCTGCATGCACTTTCTCTTGGTGACGGTTTAGGAGTGTTTCTGCCGGGTTGACCTCTGACCTTCACCTTTACGTGTGCTAGTGTGTGTTTCAGCTCCGACGATGTCACTTCCTGTCTGCGATCTAATACTTGGTGTCTTCTCTTTCCACTGAAGACCGTGCTTCTTTCTTCTGTCTGTTTGATCCGTCTGCTAATGAATGAATCGGTTGTGCTTGCTCTCTGGATCTGCGGTCTGAGTGTGTGTTTGTGTCTCAGAGAAGAGGAGCCCGACGCTTCCTCTGAATGTGGCGGATCAGCGGCTGTTGGACGCCAGTCAGCAGTTCCAGCAGAAGCAGGGGAAGGGCACCATCGACGTCTGGTGGCTCTTTGATGACGGAGGTCAGTGGAAGAAGCTTCGAGAACATACAATTACAATGCATCGTCAAACCTGGAATTTGGCCACAATTTGGTTTCATTATATTGGAAACAATTAGTTCTATTTTCCAAAATATGATGGAAAAGCTAATGTAACGGGGGATAGTATGCAACATGGTGAAAATACTCACACGTTAGGTTGTGCCTAATCTCTGCTGTCACATCTGAGCCACGTTTTACTGAAATAACTAACACTTACCCTAGAAGTTACTTCAGAAATGACCTCAACTTATGCTTCCATAAATGTAATTCCAGGGTAATGGGTTTAGCCTTTTTCTGGAATACCCCCAGAGCTGCCAGTGGGGTAGAAAGTTTGGCCTGAACCCATGCAATTGTGTCTTCCAAGACACTGGGAACAGTCGTACTAAAGCAGTGCTATTCACAACATCCAGTAAGGTCAGAGAAAACTACACCTAGCTTACAAGATGTGAGGTATGACAACAAAAAAAAAAGATCTGAGTGATTTCATGTCATGACAATGACACATGTACACTATTGGGACACCCCCTTCTTTAGACAAGAAAAAGGCACTTCCAAAACTGTCAACAAAGATGGAAACATAATTAATATATTTACAAAATTGTATTTCCATCTCTGTTTCAACAGTTTTGGACGTGCCTAAAATGACTGTAGCCATATGTTCAAGTCAGTGTTTGGTGATGAGTTTTTGGCTCAAGGTCTGCATTTAAAGTCACAGCAGACCGGTCAAGTTCTTCCACACTGACTCAATCAATCATTTCTTTTTGGACCTTACCTTATACACAGAGGCATTGTCATGTTAGAATAGAAAAGGGTCCTGTCCAAACTGTTGCTGTGAAATTAGAAGCACACAATTCCCTAGAACAGGGGTGCCCAACCCTGCTCCTGGCGATCGACTGTCCTGCAAAGTTCAGCTCCAACCCTAATCAAACACACCTGAAGCAACTAATTAGGGTCTTCAGGATCACTTAAACATTAAAGGCAGGTGTCTTTGATTAGAGTTGGAGATAAACTTTGCAGGACAGTCGATCGCCAGGAGCAGGGTTGGGTACCTCTGCCCTAGAATATCACTATATGCTAAAACATTCAGGTTTGTACTCTTGGAAATTACTAAAGTAGTCAAACCTGTTCATTAGAAGGGGGGGTCCCAATGCTATATAGTGTATGTCACAGTCCTTATGCCTTGCTAAAAAAAAAAACAATTGTGTGCCAATGAAATTTCAGTTTTCTCTTACAATACAGTAGCAGGTTTATTAGGCTGCTGTCACTTTAAGACCTAATGCTCAGATTCAATATACTGACACGCAGCTGATATCTGTCAACCGTCTAGTCATTTCAGACATATCTGGCTGTGTTTACATGAATACTTAGTAAAATGGACTGTGTATTTGGCCACTGGGTTGTGATGAGCTGTGAAAAGGACTCTTGTTTTCAGTCCTCCTCCGTGTGAGACAGACAGCTCTCTCTCTCTGAGAGCACATAAACCCGTCAGACAGCATACGAGTGCTGAACTGAGCTCTCCTCTCACTTCAGCGGTGTACAATCACTGGCCCTGGGCCACTGACAAACGCCTGCTGTCGAGTCCTCCTGCTGCAGTAGTTCTGTCTTAAACGCTGTTCATCACACTGGCTAACGTATTAGATGCGTCCGGTTGAATGATGTGCTTCTGGACGGGATGTAGATTGGTGTGGAGGTTAGAGGCTGTTCTAGACGCGAGCGTCCGTGTCTTGAAGGCGATGTGAGCTGTTGTGCAGCTTGCTCAGAGGGGAAGGCCAGAGCTTCCTGTTTTACAAGGCAAATCTCTATGAGCTCGTCTTCCTCCTATTTAACTTTATAGCCGCTTTAAAGCTGTAAAGCCAGTGTCATGTGTTCATTCTCACACAGACGCGTGCTTGTCATGACAGCAGTGAAGTGGCTCCGCAGCATTTAATTCATGCACAAACACTGACAGCTGTGACGTGAGAGCAGCAGTACAATAGCGTTTCCTTCAGGAACTTACCTCTAGTTATAATGTTTATATTGCAATCTTAAAATGTTATTTCATGTTTGGTACAGTATGTGTGATTTATGCTACTGCAACAGTAATGCATCCTCTGCTGCTAGGACAGGTTGATTCTTGTTTGTAACTCGTCTGCGTCAGGTCTGACTCTACTGATCCCCTATCTGATCGCCAACAAGAAGAAATGGAAGGACTGTAAGATCCGCGTCTTCATCGGGGGCAAGATCAACCGGATCGACCATGACCGCAGAGCGTACGTACTACAGCTGTAATCCTATGAAATCATGCTGGAATGACTTTGTTTCACAATTATATCAGAATCGTAGCTAAAGGAAAAAATGCCCCTGGCCTCCCATCTCACAGATAGTTCAGATGAGCCGGACTGTGGATGCCATTAGTATGCCAGGTCTCTCGCTCTCTCACGCTCGCTCTGAGTGTGTGTGTGTGTGTGTGTGTGTGTGTGGTGTGTGTGAGAGATAAATGTTTCCCATTGTCCTCTGCAGCTGCTGCCAGAGCCTTTGTTAGCTATAATTAGACGTGTTCCAGCAGCGAGGTCTTCATAGAAAGCGTGAGCGGTCTTTCACTGACATGTTCAGCTGCACATGTGTATGCTCAGTTTCATGGCTCTGTCGAATCCGTGCTGCGGTCATGATGGAGCTTCTGGATCCTCCAGTCGTCTGCACAAAACCTTTCAGGAGCAAACTAACTGTTCAATGCAAGGAGGCAGTGGCAAATATTCCATGCATTATTTATTATTGCCTGATAAATATGTAATGAGACTTTGTTCTGTCCTTAGCATGGCCACGTTGCTCAGCAAGTTCAGGATCGATTTCTCTGACATCACGGTCCTGGGCGACATCAACACAAAGCCCAAGTCAGAGGGGTATGAACATCATTCATCTCTTACATAAGCTCTTTCCTCAACATTCTTCACTGTTAATTGTTTGGGGATTTGTGTGGAATGTGTAAGATATTTGAGGGCTAGTTTTGCATTTGGGGTCTTTTTGTTCATCCGTTATCTAAAAGCATGGAAAAATCCATTCAGCAATGCATAATGATTCTTAGAAAAATCTGAATGTACTCAAAGAGTTTAGTTTTAACCATGGCTGGATGATGTGCACAGACAAAATGCCTGGCAGTTACACAGAAAAAGCCCTGAGCAAGTATCAGCTTGCACAGAGTTCAGAAGAGCCGTATTACCTGTCTGTCACAGATCACAGTTTAACACCTGATTTCATAACTGTTGATCTTGTGTTTGGCATCAGTAATCGATAAAGATCATGGAATCATTTTGAAATGGCTCAGGATTCCCACCCTGTTTCTGAGGGAAAGTTCCACTTCAGGTTTCTCAGCACTGACCTCTTGTGTTTGTCATTCAGTTTGACCGAGTTTGCTCAGATGATCGAGCCATATAAGCTGAGAGAAGATGACATGGAGCAGGAAGCTGCTGAGAAGCTGAAGAGCGAAGAACCCTGGAGAATCACAGACAATGAGCTGGAGCTCTACAGAGCCAAGGTCTCAACACACACCTCCTGTCACATTTATTCATGAAGCACATTAAAGATGATCGATCAAAGCAGAGACGCACATAGCACAGCCCATGAGTACAGGAGCTCACACGAATGCATGAGATTTGAGGAGAAGTAGTGTGTGTGTGTGTGTGTGTGTGTGTGTGGTGTGTGTGAGAGATAAATGTTTCCCATTGTCCTCTGCAGCTGCTGCCAGAGCCTTTGTTAGCTATAATTAGACGTGTTCCAGCAGCGAGGTCTTCATAGAAAGCGTGAGCGGTCTTTCACTGACATGTTCAGCTGCACATGTGTATGCTCAGTTTCATGGCTCTGTCGAATCCGTGCTGCGGTCATGATGGAGCTTCTGGATCCTCCAGTCGTCTGCACAAAACCTTTCAGGAGCAAACTAACTGTTCAATGCAAGGAGGCAGTGGCAAATATTCCATGCATTATTTATTATTGCCTGATAAATATGTAATGAGACTTTGTTCTGTCCTTAGCATGGCCACGTTGCTCAGCAAGTTCAGGATCGATTTCTCTGACATCACGGTCCTGGGCGACATCAACACAAAGCCCAAGTCAGAGGGGTATGAACTACACCACACTAATCTCATTACATGAACTCCCTCCTCAACACTGCTTCACGGTTAACTGTTTGTGGAATGTGTAAGAGATTTGAGGGCTAGTTTTGCATTTGGGGTCTTTTTGTTCATCCGTTATCTAAAAGCATGGAAAAATCCATTCAGCAATGCATAATGATTCTTAGAAAAATCTGAATGTACTCAAAGAGTTTAGTTTTAACCATGGCTGGATGATGTGCACAGACAAAATGCCTGGCAGTTACACAGAAAAAGCCCTGAGCAAGTATCAGCTTGCACAGAGTTCAGAAGAGCCGTATTACCTGTCTGTCACAGATCACAGTTTAACACCTGATTTCATAACTGTTGATCTTGTGTTTGGCATCAGTAATCGATAAAGATCATGGAATCATTTTGAAATGGCTCAGGATTCCCACCCTGTTTCTGAGGGAAAGTTCCACTTCAGGTTTCTCAGCACTGACCTCTTGTGTTTGTCATTCAGTTTGACCGAGTTTGCTCAGATGATCGAGCCATATAAGCTGAGAGAAGATGACATGGAGCAGGAAGCTGCTGAGAAGCTGAAGAGCGAAGAACCCTGGAGAATCACAGACAATGAGCTGGAGCTCTACAGAGCCAAGGTCTCAACACACACCTCCTGTCACATTTATTCATGAAGCACATTAAAGATGATCGATCAAAGCAGAGACGCACATAGCACAGCCCATGAGTACAGGAGCTCACACGAATGCATGAGATTTGAGGAGAAGTATGGGATTTGATGAGAGTAATTTCCTGGTCTGAATAAGCTTGGAAAAAGAAAACGCAAGTATAGAGGAATATTTGTGTTTCCAGACTATTGCCTCTAATCTGTTCTCTAAAACTAAACGAGCTAAACTTCTAAAACTAAATTGATCATACAAGAGTGTTTTTGTGGTGTTTGGAGCCAGTGCAGAAACACGACTGAATTTTCATTTTGCAAAACCGTTTGTCTTTACCATAAGCGAGTCTCTTTTAAAGGTGGGTTAAGTGATTTCTGGCAGCCAATGTTGATAATTCAAATCTCGCCCCCATTTTGATAGCTCCGCCCCACACATAGATACGTAACGTAGGCAACGATTATTTCGGAATCTGCTGTATTATTATTATCTGCTGTAAACATATTGGCCTGGTTTCACAGAAAGGACTTAGACTAAACCAGGATTAGGCCATAGTTCAATTATGACATTTAAGTAATTTTTCATAAACGTGCCTTAGGATCACTGGTGTGCATCTCGAGCCAAAACAAAGGCACTGATATATTTTAAGATCAGTCAGTGCAAGTTTCTTTCAGTTAACATGGCTCAGACTTACATTTTAGGCTGGGACTAGGCTTAAGCCTTGTCTGTGAAACTGGGGGTAAATCTTACTTTTCGGACACACTTCGGGAGCTAACGCTTGAAACAGACAGTGGAGGAGGTTTAGACGCTCCAGGCTTATAGGCTGTGGAAATGAATGCGTCTTTATCATAGCTGAAGGGAACGACAATACGACTGCAGATGAACAAACAAGCGAACATGACACACGGGCATATTCAAGCAAAAGCCAGCATATATTAGTTCTGTGAAACAAAGCAAAACCAATGTTACTCACCTATGGAGAAGAAACACAGCAACCTCGGGGTCCGATCGCAGGCCTTTCGCTCCTTGAGTTCTCTCCAGCGACTGCAGATGAACAAACAAGCGAACATGACACACGGGCATATTCAAGCAAAAGCCAGCATATATTAGTTCTGTGAAACAAAGCAAAACCAATGTTACTCACCTATGGAGAAGAAACACAGCAACCTCGGGGTCCGATCGCAGGCCTTCCGCTCCTTGAGTTCTCTCCAGCGCTGGAAAGCTGATCCGATATTTACACGGGTCCTACTTCTTGCCTTATCATAAGCCTTCTTTTGTTCCGCAGACGGTTTCCTCTTTTGTTTTTTATCCGCCATCTCTATCTTTCTGTCGCTGGGCTCGGCTAATGTCCGTCCTGTGCACTGAGTGCTCTCTCCTCCACATCATGAGTAGACACGCCCCTTACTGCTGATTGGCTACAAGTTTGTTTTGCTAGTCGGCCCGAATCAGTTTTCTAAAGCGTTTTTGAAAAAATTCATACCCCATCTTTAAGCTTCACTAAATGAATGAGTGTGAGCCTTTGCTTCACAACCAGAAACCGACAAGGGGACTCTTCATTATCTATTACCAAATAAACCTACTGTATAAATTATGAATAAAATCTTATTTAACACAATGGAAGAAATGTACAAAACCTTGTATTTTCAATCTTTATGTAACGAAATGATCCAGCAGGAAACATCATTGCTGGGCAAAATATGTGAACATCTCAGATGATCATTTGAGGAAGTAATAAATCTCATCCCACAATGATGTGCAGTTTAGTAGGGAATTATTTGGTATTGTTCTCGCAGCACCTTTAAATATTAGTGTTGATGTTGTTTTTTTAATCAAAACATGCAGTGCAATGTAAAGCAACACTATGAGGTACTTTGTGGTGTTAGAAATACACTCCTCGTTGGCAATTTTGCCAAAACAGAAGTCATGATCACTTTAACAGAATAAATTATTTGAAGACATTATATTTGTATGATTTTGAACTAAATGGTCAATAATGTAAACCCTTTAAAATCAACGGCAAAATCTTTAACTGGCTCCCATTTATATAGGATTTAAAGACCACACTTTTTCATTTGAGTAATGGTTTAGAAAAGAGCAATAAGTTGGTTGTTTGTCAAGAGAGGACAAAAAGGACCCAGAATTGAGCCCTGTGGTACCCCACGAGTGATGAATGCAAAGTTTTATAGATGAGAACAGAACCACAGGAAGTAACGCATGTCCTACCCTATTAGCCGTAATGACATTTTTCGAACGTGAAGGTTAAGACAAAGACTAGCTAGAATGCTCATGACTCAGTGGAGTGAAATGATGGTATGTAGATGCACTGTTTCCAAATGCTTGTCTGCAGAGTTTGTTTTCTCAGCTGCTAACAGATACAGCAACTTCAGTCTTCCTGCTAATTGATTTGTTTGTTTCCTCAGAGTAACCGTCAGATCCGACTGAACGAGCTGTTGAAGGAGCACTCGAGCACAGCCAACCTCATCGTCATGTAAGTTACAAACACCAGCGTTTCAGTGACTCGTAAAGACGGTCACTTGCTGCCACCTACTGGTGTAGTGCTGTGACTGTCAGAGAGAGACTGTTATATCAGCACTTATGGAGCAGTGTTCAGTGTGTCCTGAGAGTGAAGTGATGTCTGAGAGAGGTGTTTCCAGCCAGCTCTGATATTGTGTGTGTCTGTGTGTGTGGTGTAACAGGAGCATGCCGCTGGCCAGGAAAGGAGCCGTCTCCAGCGTTCTTTACATGGCCTGGCTGGACACAATATCCAAAGACCTGCCACCCATCCTCTTAGTGCGCGGGAACCATCAGAGCGTCCTCACCTTCTACTCGTAGAGTGCTCTCAGACGAGCACAGCACCTCAGACTGATGATGCTGATAGACGTTTCTCGACAGAGCTGAAACAAACGGACTCCTTCCACGCCACAGCACTCAACAGGAAAGATCAGCGTTTGACGATTTATATTGTCCTCAGCTCACAGGTTTCCGAGCACACCTTGTTACACTGATTGTTGTTATCATTGTTATCATTACTATGACTGTCGCAACTTTGAGTTGTGGATTTTTTCCCCCTCTCTTTTTAATTTGCTCTTGATGAAGCAATAATCACCTCATTTCTTATTTTCTCACTTTGAAGAAAAACACGATTCTTTGCAACACTTTTTATAGCCTCGTGGATGTGCCTTCCTGTGCAATCAGATTCAATTAAACTTTTCCCCGACTGGTGATTTATAAAGGAATAGATGTAGGCTGCTTGTTTTTATTGGGTTTTAAATGTAAATCTTCCTTGATTTTATCACGTTTTAGCACGAGTGGACTGAGGTTTCCACCGTGCCGCATTTGAAAACACTTTTTCGCTTTTTTGTAGCCAGAATTTTTTGTTTTTCTTTTTTCTTCTTCAGAGTTTTACGTCTTCCTTTAAGCATTGAAAGAGTTGTGGAGTTTTAGCACAGCGCCCCTCCATGTTCTCGTTACAATGATCGACCTGAACTACAGGGTGATTACAATCATCTTCAGTAGTCTGATGTAAAGAACTTTAACAGAACTATATTAGTTTTCCCTAGCGTGCAGTTGAATGGTTTTTGGTGTGATGGAGATGCACTGATGAGTGCCGTCTGTCTGAAGGAGAAAGAGCCGTCAGATCCTTTCAAACTAACAATCAACCAAATAAGAGCGAAGCCCTTAAATCACAGATCCTGCTACAGACCAGACCTTTGCCTTAACAGATGAGGGGATGATTGTGTTTACTGTCCTCAGGCCATACTGGCTAGTTGATCGACTGAAGCAGAATGTTCTCCAGACCAGAAAGCCTCTGTCTGTTTTATAAAGCAGTCTGGAATCGTACATCGAGGTGTTTCTGTGGCTCGAGGCCTTCACCGGAGGTCCCGAGATGTGTTCATGTGTGGTTTGAAGCTGTAAGAATGTATTCGGCGCTGAATGGATTTGTTCCTCTATGCAGATGGACTGCGTGCGACTCGTTGAAATCGTGCATCTAAACTCAGGATCGAGTGCCGGGTTCATCGTTAGCGTTGGTTTTTCTTCAGAACCGTCGAGAAAACCGATGCGGATTCGCTCTGTTCTGTTCCTGAATATTTGTCCGGTTGTCTCTTGTGATTGAATGCTGGGATGTTTGGCCCATCATGCTTTAGTTTGAATCTATAGCTATAAAGCGGAGTGTTGGTCAGTTAGCCTCATGGGTCAGCGTTTGCGAGTCCATCGCAGTCCGGCTGAATACGACGGCTTTCGTCACGCTTTGACTCTGGTTTCCAACACTAGTTTTGCTCACAGGCTCAGTGTGTTGTGCTGTCGCAGGTTCTGTGTGCGTTCCATTCACAGCCTGAGAAATACTCCATGTGACAGAGTTAGAGTGAATATATTATTCATATGTATAGTTCTCAATATAAACTAGTATTTAAAGTGCGTAACTGTGTGCGCCGCATGTGGGTGAGGTTAGTGACGCTGACGGTACAATCTTCCCTGTTCTGTATTTGTATGGCTACAGCACTCCTTCACCCGACCACGACTCCATCACCAATTCACTTGTATATTATATTTAGATATAGAAAAGGGAGAGTGTGTCACAAGCATATAACGTGTGTGTGTTTCTCACTGATCTAGCTGCAGCTGTAAAGCGCCTCTCAGAGGTTCCTCTGGTGTTTCTGTTTTTTGCTCTGGGCATCTCCTGCAGATTGTGTTGCCTAAGTCTGTTTCATGTTCTCTGGTTCGCTTATTGCTGCGTGTCCAAACGAGTTCACACAGCGAGTTCCAGCTCTAGTTCACACTACTTCCTCACTAACTTGTAGATATCTTTAACCTAACCAAATTAATCAAAGGAGTGGAATAATAACGGCAAATTAATATGATGAGATATATTTATTTCAGGGTTTTCTTTCTTCGGTTACAGTAGTTTTATGTGAATTATTTTTCTTTTTTTAGTTGTTTGGGTTTAGTCTGCAGATTCTCATCTTTCAGCGTTTGGTCACATTTCTATCTCTTATAAGCCTTTTAAAGATGGCTCTGTTGACCAGTGAGGGTGGATCTGATCGACTGGCTGTGCTGGAACAGTAATGTTTTGATATACTCTGCTGTTATTTGTCACATGTATGTTTTTTTCTAACATTTTAACGGTTAAGGGTATCAATGCTTTGTACATCTTTATTGCAATATATATATATATATATATATAAATAAACTGAAATGATAATCAGTTGCTGCAGTCTGTTTCTGCTGGTGATGAGCATCTTTCCACATTTCCATTCAGTCCGTAAAGTGCATGCTGAGTTCATTCAGGCCCGGGATCTGGAGCTCAAGTCTCTAAAGCACTAGCACCACAGTTTACCAGTAGCGTGCTGATTATCCGTTTATCCAGACTAGTGTCTACAGTGCACTCAAGCTCCGCTTACGCTGGAGGGACTGCTTCATGTGCTGCTCAGAAATCATGATGAAAACAGCGAGTGACTGACAGTATACTTCATAAATCGTAAAGATCAGAGTTAATATGATACAATTTTGCAATGATGATTGGAAAAAAAAAAAGATTTTCAGCAGTTAATAGAAATATCTACTGTATGCTAGTCTAGTCGAGTAATACAGGTTTTTAGTAATTTGGCCTATGCACTGGTAAGCACATTTTCTCAATTATACAGCATGTGAGAATTACATGGCAAGTCAATATTCTGAGCATTTATTACATGTAAAGCCTTTATGCATCTCAAAAAGTTGAGTTTGGTTTACATTTTTAACAGTTCACATTTGGCAACAATTCATGTACTGTATATCTAAAAAAAAAAAAAAAAAGTTAAATTTTTCAACATTAATGCTGTTATTTCCCTGACTGTGATGCAATCCATATTATATAAAGTGTTATAAAAATGACTTTGCACTAGTAGTCAACAGTGGTCTTTAGTGAGGCAAAGGAAATCTTCTTGACTGAACACAGCTTGCATGAAACCAAGTTAATGAGGCAAGACCTACAGTTTAGCAGGTTTAGTTACAGTCTGATAATCTACACCCAACTTGTGAAATGTTTTATTAAACATTTTATAAGTCAGAAAACTTCATATCAGGAGAACCATCAGCAAATCAGCGGTCAAATACAGTGGCATCTGTAAACATTTTTACTTATAAATTATAATAGTACAGTTGTAACTTAATTCTAGTTGAATTAAAGTTGATGCAACTATATCAGTGTAAGTCCTTCAAGTGAACTGAATTAGTGAGCTAATGTAGGGAATAGTGACTGAGGGTATGGGGGGTGGTTTGGGTCAGATCTCTTCTGAAGCTCGTGGGCTGTAGTTTGCAGCAGTTCCTGCTCTACTGGAGTGTAATGCGGAGAGTCATGTGTAGGTTTGGAGCAGAACTCCTGATCTGCAGCGTGTAGTGTCTCCTGTGTGCGCTGTGCAGAGACCCTGTGATGCTGTGCATGATGTCTTGAGCGGGCAGCAGCTCCAGCTTCACTGTGAGCGACTGAGGAGTAATCTCGGCGGCTGATTCACCGCCACACTGCGCTCAAGCTAGTCCGTCAAAGGCGGGGAAGGAAGAAAGAGACTAGGGGAAGAAGAGCAAGGAGAAATGAAGAAAAGAAAGGGTGAAATTTGACGTTCAAAGACAGCGCGCAGTGATACATTTTCCGTTTTCTTCACGCGGGAAAATCGCTTATGTTCCGCTGTTTCCTATTGCACGTGCTCACCAAGAGCGGAGTTCGAATCCAGCTGAAGACAACTTTTTGTAATATTGTTAATTTCATTAAATACATGAAGTTTCAAGGTTAATAAAATGTACATATGTACTTTTTGATATTCTTTCATGAAAATTAAAGTGTACCAATGGAAATGTGTTTTGTTGTTATTAGTTATTCAGGGTTATGGTTAATTTATTCTGATTAAGCATTTATTAGGTTATTACATTCAAGACACTTACAAATATGTTATTTCTAATGAAAAAAAGATGCAAAATAGTAATTAATATGCTGGAAAATGTCTGACAGGAATGAGAATGTACAAATTATCTTTATATAGACATGTTCTGTTGTTGCAGTGTACTGATGAAATATTGTTATATGAAAGTAAAAATAAGAGCAATCATTTGATTTGCCAACAATGCAAACAGAACAGCAATGAATATTAAACAAATTACATTTTAAATAAGTTTTCAAACAACATTAAATGCAAAGGGAAATAAAATGAAAATAAAAGTAGAAATCAAAAAGCAATCATTTCTCAATTTGTTTTTTTACAATTACGCTAACAGAACAGCAATGAATATTACATTAAATAAGTTTTCAAACAATAAATTAAAAGGTAAATAAAATAGTAAATTAAATAGTAAGTTTTCAAAAACAGTTATACTGAAAGGCCTTTTACTTGATCGAAAATATCAATCAGATGACAGAGGGCATGTTACAAGAAAAAATATGATGTTGATAATTTAGAGGTCTAAAATACAGATACAGTAGACTTTATAGGCTTAAATATAAAATAGCAACTGAGATTACACAGAAATTGCAAGTTAATTAATAATTTCTCTTACTGGTGTAACGTGCAGGGGGACACAACGTGAGGCCCACTTTCCTGCTAAACAGCTTTTCATGATTGCGGTTGACACCATGAACAAGTTCTCCGGTGCAGCTGTGTAAGCTGATGGCTCTGATGACGCAGCCTCCTGATCCCGGTTCCACCTGTTTCCCTCCAGCAAATAAACCTGAATGTTCAGACTGCTTGCACTGGTCCCTGTAAACAGACACAACCGTTATTAGGGAGTGTTAAACACACAGAGACACTTAATGTTCTTTCTTTACATATGCACAGTGTGTGTGACAGACGTACCTGGTGTAGGGTATCAGACCGAATCAGACAATCTAAGATTTGTAGTGTTTTCACTATATTTTGGATATTAATATCCATTGCAGAGTTGATGTTATACGGCTCGTTCAATGAATCGCTGGCCGTCTCAGTGATCAGCCGTAAAACAGTGATTCTGTCCAAATTCCCTTTAAAATCTTAAATGATTCCCTTTGAGCTAAATTGACCTGTTTCCGTTACACTGGGATGAAACGGTTAAGGTGTAAATGAAAGGATTCCAGAGAAGTGGAGCCTCTGGCACATCTGTATGTCTTCAGAAGCACACCTCCCTTGGTTAAGCTACCCGTCTCTGTATAAAGCACAACACCAGGGGGTCTTGGATACACTTGACGTGCTTCTTCTGGCCACTCCAGATGTGCTCCATCCTCTCGGTCCAGCAGAGAAACGCCCATGAGTCACTGCCCTGACTTGGTCGTCTCCTCTCCATGGGCCGATCCACTCGTGCTCCTCTCCGACCACACACGAGGAGGTGGAGCTACAGATGGACCTCGCAATGATGCCCCAGAAGGAGCTGTCTGTGAAGGAAAAAAAGACAAAACATTTAGTCAAGTAAGGTCATTTTAATTTTTAAGCACTTTAAGCATTTTATTTTTATCCATGACTACTTTCACATAAAATCATCATTGCAATTATTGTTTTCACTTAAATACCTTTGGTATTACAGGGATTATTATGACAATGAAACTGATAACTTTGCATTATACACTGCTGTCATCCAAAAAAAGAAACGGAATAATTATTCTGAAATCCTGTTTAATATATGAAATAATAAAAATGTTCTGAGATTTTACAAACAATATCTCTTTACTTTGACACATGAATGTTAACATCTATACATTGTTTATCATTAATAAATCAGTATCAAGTAAACTCAATTGACATTATGACAATAGTTTGATTGTTGTTGTTTCACCTTGAATGTGTTTTAAGAAACTACTGGTTATAAAAGTTATATTCAAAATTGCAGGGCATGTGAGCCTTTTCACGTCTCTATTAAGTGAAAAGAACAAAATAGATCAAGTTCTTTCCAAAGCGACAGCTGATTTAATGACATTAATAGGAAATTACTTGCGGAGACTATACTGCATGGCTGAGCGGGACTGGACACATCTGCAGTGGCTCTGGGGACAGCGGCTGGAACTTGAGCATCTGCTGTCTGTACCATCATGAAGTAAAATATAATAGATTGTGTAAATATAGCATTACAATAACTTTAACTCATCCTAGAGTATATCATACACTACCCAGACAGCAACATAGTGTTGGCCCAGATCCGGCCCACATCTGGCCCATGTGAAATCCATGCGGGCCAGATGTGGGCCAGATCTGGGCCGAAACTGTCTGCTGTCTGGGTACAGTTTAAAAGTTTGAGGTCCAAATGTTTATAAAAGAAACCTATTCTGTTCATCAGAGTTGCATTTGATCAAAAAGACAGTAAAAACAGTACAAACTAAAAAGATATTATTACATTGTGAAACATTACTACAATTTAAATTTGTGAAATTTAATCTCTTTCTGTGGTGGCAAGAACACATTTTCAGCATCATTACTCCAGTCTTCAGTGTTACACGATCCTTCAGAAACCATTCTATTGAACATAAACATTCATTACTATTAGTTGAAAATGTCTGATACTTAATAAAACTGCATTACAGTGGTTGTCACGCTTACTGTGTTGAGGAAAGCACAAAGCACAAAGATGAAAATGAAGAGTAAATAGTCTTTAATTAATCCACACAGAGGAAGTCAGTAACACACGGACCAATGGTGTGTTCAAGTCATGTCGGATAGATCGTATTTACGAGTTGAACGCCACCACAAAGTCGTTATTATGAGCGGAAAACTCGAAATTTTCTTTAAGCCCCGAGTTTCCGAGTTGGGGGCGTGTCAATGAGAAACATGGCGGAATCCATGGATGCAACGTCTGTAGCTGACGGTAAATTTTTGTTTAAATTGATAGTTTTTTAGTGGGTTGTCAGTGACAAGTACTGTAGAACTGCATGTCTGACAGAGGGAGACTTTTGGAGATTGCCAAAGTAAAACAAATCACAATACTTATAGATATTAAGCAGTGACATTGTCAGGCTTTTTATTTACAAAACAAATAAGCTTTTTGAATGTGGCAGGATTGTAATATAACAATAACAAGTTTTAATTCGATACAGATTAAAGTGGCTTCATAAATTACTTTTTAAAAATATTAAAAACGCAAAACACACCTGATGCGAATTCTTTGCTCTTCATTTTCTATAAGCAGAGTTAACAGACCCTGTTGTATTTTCTTGTAATTTATTAAAAGAAGGTACACCGCCAT